CCCCAGTCACCCCCAGTGGGCATTTTAGGGGGGGGTTTGAGGGGATTTGGGGCATTTTTGGGGGGGGCTTGGGGCATTTTAGGGGGGTTTGGGGGGGATTTGGGGTCCCACTGCATGAGAGCTCCTCCCACGAGGACAGAGTGGGACCCCCGTGGGTGGGATTGGGGGGAGGCTGAGACCCCTCCCACAAAGTTTTGGGGGGGTCCAAACTCCTCCCACAAGGATTTGGGGGGCTCCAAACATTTCCCATAAGAATTTGGGGTGGGGGTGGGGTCTGAGCCCCTCAAATGAGGATTTGGGGGGGGTCCAAGCCCCTCCCACAAAAACCTTGGGTTGTCTGAGACCCCTCCCACAAAGATTTGGGGGTATCCAAACCCCTCCCACAAATATTTGGGTGCTCTGAGCTCTCCCAAGAGGATTTGGGGGTATCCAAACCCCTCCCACAAATATTTGGGTGCTCTGAGCTCCTCCCACGAGGATTTTTGGGGGTCCAAGCCCCCCCCCCACGAGGATTTGGGGGTCCAAGCCCCCTCCCACAAATATTTGAGGACTCCACGCCCCCTCCCACGAAGATTTTTGGGGGTCCTCGCCCCCCCCCACGAGGATTTTTGGGGGTCCAAGCCCCCCCCCCAAACACCGAGGTCCCGCTGAGCGCCTTGAGCTTTATTTGGGGCGGGGGGTGACACTTTGGGGACAGGGACAGCAGCCGGGGGGGGGCTCAGGGGTCGTACCCCCCCTCCATGAGGCGCTGCAGCTCGCGGGGGTCGCGGGGGGCCCCCCCCAGGGCCAGGTACCCCCCCAGGAACTGGTGCAGGACGCGGGGGGGCGCCGAGAGCACGCGCAGCCCCAGCATGACGTCACCGCTGAGCCACAGCCGCACCTGGGGGGCAGCGGGCTGAGACCCCTCCCCAAAATACCGGAGGGGCTGAGACCCCTCCCCAAAATACCGGAGGGGCTGAGAGCCCTCCCCAAAATCCCAGAGGGGTGAGACCCCAAAATCCCAACGGGATGAGACCCCTCCCCAAAATCCCAGAGGGGCTGAAACCCCAAAACCCCTGCGGGCTGAGACCCCTCCCCAAAATACCGGAGGGGCTGAGAGCCCTCCCCAAAATACCAGAAGGGCTGAGGCCCCTCCCCAAAATCCGACCGGGCTGAGACCCCAAATCCCCAGAGGGACTGAGACGTCTCCCCAAAATACCAGAAGGGCTGAAATCCGTCCCCAAGTCCCCAACGGGGTGAGACCCCTCCCCAAATCCCAACGGGGCTGCCCAGGGCCTCCCAGTCCATCCCAGTTAAGACCCAGCCCATTCCCAGTCCATTCCCAGTGCTCCCAGTTTCCCCCAGTACCTCCCAACCCATTCCCAGACCCTCCAGTACCCCCCTGCTGTCCCAGTTCACGTCCCAGTCCCCCCAGTCCATTCCCAGTCCATCCCAGTCCCCCCAGCCCCCCCAGTCCCTCCCCGCTGTCCCAGTTCCCGTCCCAGTCCATCCCAGTCCATCCCAGTTCCCCCAGTACCTCCCCGCTGTCCCAGTTCCCGTCCCAGTCCATCCCAGTCCATCCCAGTTCCCCCAGTACCTCCCCGCTGTCCCAGTTCCCGTCCCAGTCCATCCCAGTCCATCCCAGTTCCCCCAGTACCTCCCCGCTGTCCCAGTTCCCGTCCCAGTCCATCCCAGTCCATCCCAGTTCCCCCAGTACCTCCCCGCTGTCCCAGTTCCCGTCCCAGTCCATCCCAGTCCATCCCAGTTCCCCCAGTACCTCCCCGCTGTCCCAGTTCCCATCCCAGTCCCCCCAGTCTATTTCCAGTCCATCCCAGTCCCCCCAGTACCTCCCCGCTGTCCCAGTTCCCATCCCAGTCCCCCCAGTACCTCCCCGCTGTCCCAGTTCCCATCCCAGTCCCCCCAGTACCTCCCCGCTGTCCCAGTTCCCATCCCAGTCCCCCCAGTACCTCCCCGCTGTCCCAGTTCCCATCCCAGTCCCCCCAGTACCTCCCCGCTGTCCCAGTTCCCATCCCAGTCCCCCCAGTACCTCCCCGCTGTCCCAGTTCCCATCCCAGTCCCCCCAGTACCTCCCCGCTGTCCCAGTTCCCATCCCAGTCCCCCCAGTACCTCCCCGCTGTCCCAGTTCCCATCCCAGTCCCCCCAGTACCTCCCCGCTGTCCCAGTTCCCATCCCAGTCCCCCCAGTACCTCCCCGCTGTCCCAGTTCCCATCCCAGTCCCCCCAGTACCTCCCCGCTGTCCCAGTTCCCATCCCAGTCCCCCCAGTACCTCCCCGCTGTCCCAGTTCCCATCCCAGTCCCCCCAGTACCTCCCCGCTGTCCCAGTTCCCATCCCAGTCCCCCCAGTACCTCCCCGCTGTCCCAGTTCCCATCCCAGTCCCCCCAGTACCTCCCCGCTGTCCCAGTTCCCATCCCAGTCCCCCCAGTACCTCCCCGCTGTCCCAGTTCCCATCCCAGTCCCCCCAGTACCTCCCCGCTGTCCCAGTTCCCATCCCAGTCCCCCCAGTACCTCCCCGCTGTCCCAGTTCCCATCCCAGTCCCCCCAGTACCTCCCCGCTGTCCCAGTTCCCATCCCAGTCCCCCCAGTACCTCCCCGCTGTCCCAGTTCCCATCCCAGTCCCCCCAGTACCTCCCCGCTGTCCCAGTTCCCATCCCAGTCCCCCCAGTACCTCCCCGCTGTCCCAGTTCCCATCCCAGTCCCCCCAGTACCTCCCCGCTGTCCCAGTTCCCATCCCAGTCCCCCCAGTACCTCCCCGCTGTCCCAGTTCCCATCCCAGTCCCCCCAGTACCTCCCCGCTGTCCCAGTTCCCATCCCAGTCCCCCCAGTACCTCCCCGCTGTCCCAGTTCCCATCCCAGTCCCCCCAGTACCTCCCCGCTGTCCCAGTTCCCATCCCAGTCCCCCCAGTACCTCCCCGCTGTCCCAGTTCCCATCCCAGTCCCCCCAGTACCTCCCCGCTGTCCCAGTTCCCATCCCAGTCCCCCCAGTACCTCCCCGCTGTCCCAGTTCCCATCCCAGTCCCCCCAGTACCTCCCCGCTGTCCCAGTTCCCATCCCAGTCCCCCCAGTACCTCCCCGCTGTCCCAGTTCCCATCCCAGTCCCCCCAGTACCTCCCCGCTGTCCCAGTTCCCATCCCAGTCCCCCCAGTACCTCCCCGCTGTCCCAGTTCCCATCCCAGTCCCCCCAGTACCTCCCCGCTGTCCCAGTTCCCATCCCAGTCCCCCCAGTACCTCCCCGCTGTCCCAGTTCCCATCCCAGTCCCCCCAGTACCTCCCCGCTGTCCCAGTTCCCATCCCAGTCCCCCCAGTACCTCCCCGCTGTCCCAGTTCCCATCCCAGTCCCCCCAGTACCTCCCCGCTGTCCCAGTTCCCATCCCAGTCCCCCCAGTACCTCCCCGCTGTCCCAGTTCCCATCCCAGTCCCCCCAGTACCTCCCCGCTGTCCCAGTTCCCATCCCAGTCCCCCCAGTACCTCCCCGCTGTCCCAGTTCCCATCCCAGTCCCCCCAGTACCTCCCCGCTGTCCCAGTTCCCATCCCAGTCCCCCCAGTACCTCCCCGCTGTCCCAGTTCCCATCCCAGTCCCCCCAGTACCTCCCCGCTGTCCCAGTTCCCATCCCAGTCCCCCCAGTACCTCCCCGCTGTCCCAGTTCCCATCCCAGTCCCCCCAGTACCTCCCCGCTGTCCCAGTTCCCATCCCAGTCCCCCCAGTACCTCCCCGCTGTCCCAGTTCCCATCCCAGTCCCCCCAGTACCTCCCCGCTGTCCCAGTTCCCATCCCAGTCCCCCCAGTACCTCCCCGCTGTCCCAGTTCCCATCCCAGTCCCCCCAGTACCTCCCCGCTGTCCCAGTTCCCATCCCAGTCCCCCCAGTACCTCCCCGCTGTCCCAGTTCCCATCCCAGTCCCCCCAGTACCTCCCCGCTGTCCCAGTTCCCATCCCAGTCCCCCCAGTACCTCCCCGCTGTCCCAGTTCCCATCCCAGTCCCCCCAGTACCTCCCCGCTGTCCCAGTTCACGTCCCACCGCCGCAGCTCGCTGTAGCTCCAGCTCCGGCTCTCGGAGCCCGAGCGGCGCCGGAGCCGCTGCAGCCGCGAGGGCCCCACGGCCAGGAGCTCGTCCTGGGGGGCACCCCGGAACCTGGCACCCCGAAACAGCCGTGGGAACCCCGAAACAGGGATGGGAACCCCGAAAATACCCGCGGGAACCCCGAAAACAGGGATGGGAACCCCGAAAATACCCGCGGGAACCCCGAAACAGGGATGGGAACCCCGAAAACAGCCGTGGGAACCCCGAAAATACCCGCGGGAACCCCGAAAACAGCCACGGGAACCCCGAAAATACAGCCGAGAGCACTCCGGAACCTGGCACCCCGAAACAGGGATGGGAACCCCGAAAATACCCTTGGGAACCCCGAAAACTGCCTTGGGAACCCTGAAAACAGCCTTGGGAACCCCAAAAATACCCGTGGGAACCCCAAAAGTACAGCTGAGAGCATCCCGGAACCTGGCACCGCGAAAATACCCATGGGAACCCCGAAAACAGCCACGGGAACCCCGAAAATACAGCCGAGAGCACCCTGGAACCTGGCACCCCGAAACAGCCATGGGAACCCCGAAAACAGCCACAGGAACCCCGAAAATACCCGCGGGAATCCCGAAAATACCCATGGGAACCCCGAAAACAGCCGTGGGAACCCCAAAAGTACAGCCGAGAGCACCCCGAAACCTGGCACCCCGAAACAGCGATGGGAAGCCCGAAAACAGCCACGGGAACCCCAAAAATACCCATGGGAACCCCAAAAATACAGCCGAGAGCACCCCGGAACCTGGCACCCCGAAACAGTGATGGGAAGCCCGAAAACAGCCGCGGGAACCCCAAAAACAGTGATGGGAACCCCCCAGAAACGCCTGAGAGCGCCCCCCAAAGTGGGGAACCCCAAAACCAGCGATGGGACCCCCCAGAGCACCTGGGACCCCCTGTCAGTGCCCGAAGCGTCCTCCCAGTTCCCCCCAGTTCCGCCCCAGTCCCCCCAG